CGATCCTGCCATTGTTCTCGCCTATCCGGTATATCCTCGCTATCTGAATATTGTAACTGGAAGGGGGACGGCAGAATAGCTGATATCATTAGATGGCTCGCCCGAAAATTCGTAACTCAACCCGGCGATGGCCCCACTGCCGAGCAAGCACTAAAGCACCGAGTTGAGTGGCGTGGCATCGCCGAGGCAGATGACGGAAGGGCTATTCACCAGAGAGCATTTGTCTCCTTCCGCGCAGAGAAAGACTGCTATATGCTAACTGGTATCTTGTTGGCGTTGACGGCGATGGCGATCTTGTTCGATGAGGATACAGTAGCAAGGAAGATGGGTGGCGGTGTGCTAACGCCGTCGACAATAGCGACAGAGAGATATTTCAAAGAGTTGGAAAAGGCGGGAGTTTTCGTGGAAACAAAGATGCTAGATTGGCTCAGGGAGTGATCGGACACGAAGAGATATATGGGCGCAAATAATGAACATGTATACCTTAGCTTTAAGGATCAAAATTGGAATTCAAATAACGACTAACGAGTATACGCTTACGAGTGGAAGATCGATCATCGGTCTTGGATGCGAATAAGGAGCTTCACAATTATCTGTTGAATATAGGAGCTGAAAGTGGAGATAATTAAAGGCTTTGTTGGATCACCTGAATATATAAGAGGTGTAATATAGAGCCTATTTATACCCATAAAGTCCATACGCCCCGGATATAAAACAGTCTGAGCAGGCACGATACAAAAGTCTTGAATTGGGACTGGTTTCCGACTCCACGCCCCGTACGGGCCTTCTTTTAGGCTCTGAAGCACAAAACCAACATTTTCTAGAGGTATCTATCCGAGTGATGACCCACGACTTAAATTGAGTTCTGACTGTTCAAGTCATCGATAGACACCACACATGTTCTTCGATCTGTAAAGTTCTAATCAACGACATTATTGGGATGTTGAATTGACGTAGTTCAGGGTATCGTTCTGTGTTTCCTGCAGGGTTTGCGGCCAGAATTATTTGTGCAGGATTCAATGAATTTTGGTTTCCGATCGAATGACTGAAGATATGAGCTAATATGAGAATTTATATAGAAAATCATAGCTACGCTCATATACGCGTCGATTTAACCCTTAGGGCTTGGTTCAATAATATTTGTGAGGAAGATATATGCCTACTATATGGACTAGGGGTATCCTTGCAGTTGCTATCCCGCCGCGCCTAAATATAGTACCGAGACCCCGCAATATCAGCATATTAAACTCGGTAGACTGGATATATTCATCGTTCAAATAATGACTTGTAAAGCTGTCGACTCTGTAACACCGCATCAAGATGTCGAGTCCAATACCCACCGCCGATCTCCAGCGCTTCCGTGAAACCGCGGCTTCTCTTATACCGCAGCTCATTGAAAGGCACGAGGCCCCCAAGAGCATAATCCGCTTCGACCCCTGCGCCACTACCTATCTCCGCTATAAACCTTCGAGTCTGTTTCCAGTAGAAGAGCTCGAAAGTCGGCTATGGGGGAAGGGAGACGGATTCATCATCGATTTTGAGAGCCACCGCACTGGATATTTCTCCTTCGACCTTGCGGGGGAGGGCGACTCGGTTGGCGATGCGCCGACTAGGCTGAGATTGGTGTTTGGAGAGGTGCCTGGAGATGTGGTTGAGGAGCTGGATCCGGCGAAATCAAAAGTTAGTTTCTCGTTTAAATTTATAATTTAGCTGATCTTAATGGAGTCCAGAAGATGGGGCGCTGACAACTGGTTTAGTCGTGGATTTCAACGTCGTGGTATCCAGATGAGATTATCAATATCGATGAATGCCCTTCGAGTGTGAAACTGCCGCGCCGATATGCGTTCCGTTATGTGCGTGTGCAGGTGCTGTGCGGATCGAAGTCTTACAAGATAAGGTTCTTGAATGTGAAGGCTACGGCAATATCGTCAACTGTGTCTCTACCACCTCCGTTTCAGGCCGCGGACGATCTACTGAAGAAGATAGATGAGATCTCAGTGATCACCTTGAGGGACTGTATGACCACTATCTTTGAAGATGGACCAAGAAGGGATAGGCGGTTGTGGCTTGGGGACCTTAGGCTGCAGGCGTTGGCAAATTATTACACTTTCAAGAATTATGATCTGGTGAAGAGGTGTCTTTATCTGTTTGCAGGGTTTCCGAGAGAGGATGGGAGTGTCCCTGCAGCGATATTCGAGAGGCCTGTTACCAGGAGGGCGGGGGACTATATCTTGGATTATGATGTGCTGTTTGGGGTGACAGTCCTGGACTATGTCGAGTTCGTCTCTTTCATTATTCTTTGCGCTTAATAAGCACTGACCACTCGAGGGGTTCAGGGCATCTGGCGACAAGACTACTGGACATGATCTGTGGCAGACCGTGGTTAACAGTACCAGGAACTCTGTTTCCTCAATATCCACCGACGGGAAGTTTACACCCAATAAGGATGTTTGGGTATTTCTCGACTGGCAAGATGGTCTGGATCGAACTACGGGTGCTCATGCACTTATCGTCTTCGCACTGAAAGCCGTAAATCGGCTTGCCTCTCTTCTCGGATACCCGTGCGCAATCCATACCGATATCATTGCGGCATCATCCGAGACTCTTAGCTCTACTTTTGACGCGGAAAAAGGAGTTTTCGTGAGTGGTCCCAAAAGGCAAGTTTCTTGGGCTTCTCAAGCCTGGATAGCACTTGCGGACATCGTTCCGCCGGAAAGGGCAAAAGTTGCCTTAGTAAAGGCTTACAATGATCCATCGGCGACGAAAGCGATGACACCGTATCTGTTTCACTACGTTACGGAGGCTTTTGCACGAGTAGGAGCGAAGGAGGAGGCAATGAGTTTGTTGCTGAACTATTGGGGTGGGATGGTCCGAAAGGGTGCGGATACGTTCTGGGAGGCGTACGATCCGGCGGATTCAATGTTTAGTCCGTATGGAGATCATTTGAATAACTCGTATTGTCATGCCTGGAGTTGCACTCCTGCTTATCTTTTGAGGTCGGGGTTAATACCAACGGAGTATTGATGATTCATGAGTGGAGTACATTGCAATGGAGGTAGTTGGAAATTGGGGATCGTATGAATTTCGCTAGAAAGATGCAATTAGAATATGTGTTGATTCAAGTACAATTTATTGGCCTTGGAGTCGCTTTCTCAATTGGAAGGGTTTGTTTACGAAGAGTATGATGTAAGATTCAAGGGACTTAATATGGGCGGACTGATTGGGGGAGTGTTTGATTACTGTGCCAGTTGCATAGCACGCTTGAATCAAGTGTTACATGTACGGTTAACGAATGAATCGCATTCGATACTCGGACACTAGAGTTATGGAATCCCAGCCCTTTTCCAAAACTGAACTTAGCCTATGATATCAACGAAATACTTCAAGACTCCGAAGTTCAAGACATTTGAAGCTACCTGGGATTTTCGACTGTAGAGCCGGATAAAATCCTCCATTAAACAATGCCAAGCACCTCAACCTACTTCTCTAATGATCATAAGCCTTAAATATGATAAAGACCTAACGGTTAAGAAAGGAATGATGATAGAGAAGAATTATGAAAGTTTCATGCCAAATCACTCGCTGTTGATGTAGTGTGATAACCCTAACCCTCCCTCATACTGGTCTCACCATCTACATCTGTATCGTGTGTATGTATGAAACGCGAATAACATGAAAGGGACAAAATGAAGGAAACATTTTACACGTGTTCAGTTATCAAGTTGTGGGCTGAATATCGCAATCTCTTAAAATTAGGGGGAGACTTTTAACACCATATGCATCTTTATTCGAGCCTTCCGGATGTAGGATATGAGCCTTGGCGCCAAGAAGTTTGGCTGGCACAGTCTTAGACAGAGCTCGCAATTGAACAAGTAGGATGTGATATAATATTTTCGACTAGGGTATACGCCTGCAGCTGGAAATATATCCAACACCCAGAGTACTGGTCAGACTACGCGGGCCAATATGCCTTTGCCCGTTCGCGGATATCTATAATAACCAGATAGGAAACTTCAACGTCTTGTGTCACCGCCAACCGGGACGGACCGCATGATGGACGTGCATGCATATATATATTCCTGTTTGCATAAGAGGAGGGCCTGAACAGTGAACAGGTTCTGAGGGGGCTTCATGATTCCTGTTCTTGATTGAAGTCATGAAGTCATGACATAGATACGATTTCTGTATCGGAGTAAAGTATTTTGGTAAAGACCTTTAGGCGTTAATTATATGCTTACTTTTGTTAGATCAGAACTCAGTGCCGGCTCCAATCACTTCGATCATTGCTTTTTAGAATACTCGGCTTTTTGTGTCTCTCGGAACCTGTCACGTGGCCCTGTGGTATTTGATGTACACAGTTGTCGAATCGATGCATGTAGAAGTACATATTCACCTACGTGTACTTGAGCCTCAAGTACAATAACCAACAACCAATATCGATCAGTTGGCCTTCCAACCGAATTCTTTTCTAATCTATCTTTGCCATCATACGGACTGGGGACTGGTGTTGTTTCTCCAGCTGACAGACCGCCAAAGCTGGATCACGTTATCTCTGAACCTCTACACAGAGTCACCAGAGGTATATTCTGTGTGGTATCACAGTAATAGGATATTATACTATTCTAGATCCACCCTCATGATTATTCCAGATGTTATTTATCCACTACAGTACTACATACAGTGCCATACGTACAAGGCCTGATCACTGCAACTAGCCTGTGAAACAACCTATGGCGTGATTAATTGGTCATCCCTACTAGCAATCAATCAAGGCGAAACTGAGAACCCCCATAATCAAAGATGCGGATTTTTTGAGCCGCGGAGGGTCTTACTACATTGTATACATTAACATATTGGTATGCGTGGTGCATGCGTCCGGCGTCCCCCCTTTATCTATCCGTGCGGGGGCCCGAAATTTTCAGCCTTCAACTATATCTAGCTCTATCGACGTCAACATCAACATCTCCCCTAGCTTACACACGTGCACACATCAAACAAATATGGGAGAAAGGCACATCAACACCGGCTTTATTCCTGAGAACAATGAGTTGTTCCGAGAAGAAAGGCACATCGTCCCCCGTGCTACCGTTACCATTAGTGACGAGTCGTGGCCAGAGCCTCATGCTCAACTAATCAGGGTACAACATGATCTAATCGCCAGTTGCTCCAATTTATGTCGGAAGATTGCGCCCATGTTAGCAGTTGAAGGAATTTCAGGAAATCCGACTACTGAAGGCAAACGCGGACTAGTGAGGCGAGAGTCTATGCAAGTTGTGGAGCAGCGACTGTTATTATGGGGTGCAACTATTTCCGACTACAAGGATCATTCTTCGTTAATTCGCATTCAAGCGCACACAATTAAAACCCTTGACAGGATCAAACGTGTCCTGTATGGTATGCAGACTCTCGAGCGGGACTCTTATTCGGAAAAATTCAAGAAGGAGTTGCTTCCTCTCCTCGGTTCTCTATATTCAAATCTTCCGGGAACATGGCGCGACACTATAGAATGGGCTTTAACCGCTACTTTGGTGAAGACCACTGCTCCAACCATGATCAACGAGAAGATCCAACTTAACGACTGTGATCCTATATTCCTTGCGTCACTTGGCTCCTCGCAAATCAAACAAAACTTCAGTTATATGCTTGACTTGATAGATGAAAGTAAAGCTACCTCGCCAGTTCCATTATTGACACCCGATAATCTTATTTCATCCGGTTCATACGATGGAATTGGGGTATATTCTCAAAAGAGTGGTATGGATGGACCTACCATGGGTGGTTTGATTTCCATCCGCACCGAGTGGACGGTGGAACAAGCCACGACAGATTTGGGGGATATGGTATATATTAGGACGAAATATCAGCAAAGGCTGCGGTTACCAAAGCCAGATGAGATGCGAATTTTGGTCCTCGGGGGTTATTTCGAAAATTTAACTACAGGTCGGGTGGAGCTCCTGTACCACTTTCCGCACTGGGCCTCACAAAAGTCCCCTCCAGTGTCACTTCGTCGACTTATCGCCGAAAAACAGTTACCGGACGACATCGGGGTGAGATTTTCGATTGCTCGCAAACTCATATGCGCTATACTTTACTTCCACGCTTGCCAGTGGATTCACGGAAATATTGATGATCGAAATATCATTTTTTTTGAGGATTCCGAGCATAATTTGAACTTTGAAGAGCCCTTCTTTTGTAGATTTATCCCTTCTTCCAAAGACGCGCTGGAGGCTGTACCGGCAACGAAGGAGTCTGCAGATGCAATATTTGGGAACGATGTTAAGCTAAGAAACGCTGATACCGAAAGCATCTGGCGGACTGTGTTATTGGTAATATTCGAGAAAGAGACTGTCGCTGCGAACGGTTCTCCTGACTCACACCTGGGATATTTTGGGGCCAAACATGATCTGAGTAAATGGGCCGAGATCAATGAGTGTGTATACGTATCCGAGTGGTCGGGAGATAGTGGTATGGGGCGTAGTACGCTCGAGGGTAACCTTGGGAGTAATGATGACTACATAAGCCGCCAAGGGATGTACTGGAAACTCACAAGGATACTTAATCTTTGCTCCCCTAGGTCCACCAAGTACTCGGTGGGTGAACAATCAATATTATATCTATCTAGCTCCCCCCATATATATAACTAACCAGGTCGTAACATCCAGAGAGATCGCATTACACAACGCTCATATAAATATAAGGGTACATGGTCAGCGATTCCTAGTTTTGGTGTAAGTACACCCCATCATTCAGATACTCATCCTTAGCTGACAAACTGGAACACTACAGTTAGAAGGTTATGAGAAAGATCGGTCTCTAGAGACGGCAGAATCTGGGGAAGATATGGAAGGATTTGATACACAAAGTACAAGTACGGGTAGATCTTTGCACATGAATATTGATCTTCCCAGGGGGTCGGGGAGACAAGAAACACAGGACGAGGTATTCCCGGTAACGGCTACTCATGAACAAATTATGCAATGGCGAAAGGATGTGCTTCCACGACTTGAAAGAGTTCTCGAGAAACACCTACCCGCGGAAGAGTCAGTATCTATTGATCTGCTCGGGATCGGAACCTGTCGGGAAGAATCTCAACCAACAATCGTGGTAACCTGTAAGAGTAGCCGATTGGTCAAGCGTCTTCTCAAGAAATTCGTTTACGACTGGGCTGTATTTGGCCTGAAAGTCAGAAAAGGATCTATTCAAAGGTCATCTGGCACAGGAAGGGACCGAGATTCTAAACATCAGGAAAGGCCTTTGCCAGGTGCATCTATAGGAGCCTGTCGCGATGGGAAGCATTTACCCGCTGCAACCTATGGCGGGCTTGTTCTCGTTGATGAAAAGCCATACGGGTTAACCGTACATCATCTAGTGGATATTGATGATCAGACGGAGGAGCAAAATACTCGGAGCCGCTTTCGTACACTGGTAGAGAGTTACGCTGGTTGTCACTTGGCCGTTGATGAAAGCACCTGCGTGGAAGAGGACCAACCTCATAGTCATGTAGATGTAAGTAAAATACATGTACGTTAATATCCGGTTTAGGGCGCGCTAAACAATTCATTGGTTACATATGTAGATAGGAAACTCGCCTCTGTATTCGGAATCGGAGGGGGGAAGTAGCGCAAGCGCAAGCGATGTTGAATACGATGAGGAAAGTATGTCTGGAAGTTTAGTGTGTGAATTTGATTATGAAAATGAAGGAAGAGATACCGTTATCGAAGGCGATGACCTTATCGGAGATATACCCGGACTTAAAAGGAATCATGACAAACAAATTGTGGCAGTTCAACCGGCCGAAACGGACCTCCTTGAGAAAGAAAGGGGCGGGGGCGAGTCGGTCACTGAGGATTACCATTTAGGAACATTCCTTGCCTCTTCGGGTATTAGGAGGGTTGTGTTCGAATCAGAAAAGCACGAGATTGACTGGGCATTGATTGACATATCGACCGACCGGTTGGGACAGGGTAATTTGATACAGGGCGGTGGGAGATTCCTTAGGTCATCATCCGGTGAACAAGACTCGGAGCCGTGTTCTTATGTCCCGATGGGTCAGTTCAGCGGCCTGGAGGTGCACGGTAGAGGTCGTACGAGTGGACTACAGAGGGGTGAGATAAGCGAGGCCATTAGCTCAATCAAGTTCTCTGATCGGAAGACCTTTTCGAGGAGCTGGAATGTCACTGGTAAAATTGGAGGTATATTCACATGCATCTTTTACTCAACACTCGACGTAATGACTTCTGACTCTGACTGTCTGACCATATTTCTATATAAAGATCACGGTGATTCTGGAGCATGGATCGTCGATAATCTCTGCGGGGGTGTATGTGGTCACATCATCGCTGGTCATCTCGTTAATAATAAAATCGTTGCATACATAAACCCGATGGAGCTGTTACTACGAGACATCAAGGAAACTTTACAAGCAGAGAGCGTATGTCTTCCAACCGCCGCCGCGGCCGCTCAGGTCGAAGATATGGACGAACCCACGTACATTATTATTTAGGGTCTTTTACTTCATAAGGGATATAGTTCTGCGGGGGGGGGTGGGGGGTATCGCCGAACGCCAAACGAGCAAATTAAGTGGCCTGGAGGTTGAAAGCTTTTGGTATTTGGACACACAGATAAGGTTTTTGTACTGATATAGTCATTTATTTCGTTTAAGTATTTCTTGTTGGGATTGGGGAGGAATTCACGAGGAGAGGTAGTCATGTTCATATGTCGATATTCGAGAAAATTATCCTTTGGGCCGTCAGGCCGGATACAAATCATATATAACTACTTAACTATAGAACTTGTGATAAAGAAACGCTTAGGAAGAGGCGATATACCACGATATTGTCTTACCAGACCCCCCAAACCAAGTGTTTCGCCAAAATGGGACTTGTCCCTTAACCATCTATCAAGTGATGCTCTCCCCGGCCTGGGGGCGCTAAAGACGGACGAGTGATCAAGTATGATGACGCCCAATGCAACCAAACCTTTCCTATTCGGGATCGAAATGATAGCTCATAAATTTCAATAGTCAACCTCTACCAACGTCGTCATTTATGTATAAACCACGTAAAAAATGTTAGTCGTAGCGCTCAACAGTTACAGAATCATATATGACTAGAGAGGGGAGGGAACACTCATAGGGATCATTCAATAATTTAAAAGTGTGTAGTGCCGTTTAAAATGCCATCTACCATACATTGTATTGATCGAGAAAATATAACTATCTCGTTGGTGAGGATTTTTGAGGCATCCCTGGACCTTGCGCAGAGATTATGACTACCTCTATGCATGTTGGTGAGTCTTAGAGGCTCTAGTCAACGCGTTTTGTTGGCGATGAATTTGAGTCATCGGGCCAGACCGATCATAGAATATCACTCGGTAACGCTGGCGACTTAGTTTCAGTAGCGAATCTACCTATCATTTTTGGCAAGAATCATGTAGAGAGGTACTCGACCTCTTTCTGGAAGATCAGTGTCTTTTCGGGACGAAATCGCCCCCTCAGATCGCCTGGTAGATACTTACCACGCCCCGCTTTTGTGATTTGAATCAATGGGCGACAATAGATTTCTTATTAGTGTAGGTAGAGTAAACTTAGGATGTGTGCATTTCTCCTCTCGCATGATGAGAGGATTATTAAAAACATTAGCGTGAACATTCTAAGAACATCCTATTATAGATAGGAAGGATGAGATCGATACTTCACAAGGATGGAATTGGACAGATATCGGCCTGGGCGTCACTCTCTTTGCCTACCACGTACCCCTATTCGTTGTTTAATCACTCGTTAACTACTCCAAAAGTGACTGTACCCTCAAAGAGTATGCTCTACATATAATATGTACTTATAGATATGCCCGAGGGTATATACATATGCACAATATCCGTTTTATAGCTTATTATTAGCCGAGTTTGAAAAAAACTTTCTTTTTTATCCTATTTCTGTTATATTTGCTTCATCGAGCCTGTTTACTTGAGTCAGTCATGTATGACGTACTTTTGATACTAAACCATCAGTTTTAGCCACTCAGCTGATCTCTCTAGGCTAGATATTGACATTTCAATATCATTTATTTGAGCTGTCGAATATTGGCACACAGCGCAGTTTTAGGCTTTCTGTAATCTTTGAGTTGGTAAACAAATGCTGTTTAAGCGATATCACTCCCAGCTCCGGCCGAAAGCGAGTGAAGGCTTTTATCATGTATGTACTTTACACAAGCTGCATATAATAAAGAGTAGGATTATTCTAGAAATGTGATTTGAGATATAATATTTTATTTTATATGAATGGGAGCGGTTGCTGCTCTCTAGTCAAATACCCTAGAGAAATCCTCAGAATCATCATTACCGATCGCGATATTGCAAATACTGTAGCGCCCGCCCAAGTTCGTACGTTAGGTGTCAGCTCCAGTAGTTCTGTACGAACATGTGCCAGGGAAATGGAGGAGTGTAAAGAGTTCATTATACGTCAGGACAGACTCTGTACGAAGCTCCAGGGCTGTCATTTGTAAATTCTATTTTTTGCCACAAACTTTGCAACTTATATTCCCATTCATCCTCGGCCACCCGGACAGAGTGTACGAACTTTGTATATTGTCAGTCAACCCACTGTACGAGCTTGTACTCTGAGACTTGTCAAGCAGTACTGTACGAATGATCCTCTACTGACAGTAAAAGGGGCTGTACGAACTTGGGTGGTCGCTACAGTAGATTCAAGGATGTAATCTACATGGTGTTCCCATCTGTCCACGAACGGACGGGCGCATCACAAAAGTGGATCGTCGACGAATTGAATCGAATAGTCCATTCGAGAGTGTGGGCCGGATTATTCGCAAATATCGGTGTTCACGACGAGGTTAGCTAGAATAGCGCCCCTGAAATCACCTTATCAACTTCCGGTACCTTAATCCTGGGGGCTATTCAAAACTTTGAGGGCTGCGAGACCGTCTTTTATACAATTATCACATGGCACGTCTTGCTTCGTATTGAAAGACCCCCTCATTCCATCCAATATCCCAGAGATATAGAGTCTCCTGAACCCTTTGTTTCCTCAATTTCTCTTCTCGATACCGACTTACATCAAAAACAGCGCAACAGTACCTGTAATTTTACTCGGAAAAAGCTTTCGGACACATGTTAGAACGGTGAATAATATCCATTGAGGATACGGACGTTCTTACCAAATCTTGGCACGATAGCATCCACAGGATTGCCCTGGTCTCCACTGCTGGGAGAGGAAGCGTTGGGTAAAGTGAATGGTTATCTATCCAATCATTTGAACCTTCAAGTTTGGCGATTTTGTCTTCGAGTATGGCAAGGCCAAATCTGCCCACTGTCTTAAAACGACGAAGGGCTCCTTGGGAATACAGTCCTACGGTAGCACAAAATACGCACTACATTACACTGATCAGTAGATTAAACTATGTTTTAGATTATAGACTTATTCATCCTCCCATGCTTTGTGGCATAGACTGCAATCAGAGTCTTCGCCGGTGGCAAACATCGTTTATTCAGAGATATATATCCCTGATTGATGGGTCGATTTGTGAATGACTACGGCCACTACTACTGAGGGAAACCGCGTATCGATTGCTCCCAATACCTTTCACACACAGTCTTAGTTAATTTAAGGCGAACAAGACGCTCATGACCTTTGGATATCACTTTGTGTTTTATATATCTTTGAGCACGATGAAGTCTCCGAACCTTCCGACTCTTCATCCTCACAATCCCCATAAAATATGATATGCCATTGAGATGCATATATATATATGAAAGTACTATATATATGGCTATCACCTATCTCAAAGCTAACGTATAATTAGGATGCCTTCTTTGAGGCGAGTTGGTAATCGATGATGTTGATTCACTCATGATGATGATGATGATAATGGGGATGATGATGATGATGATGATGATGATGATGATGATGATGATGATGAAATGACCCGGTATGGATTTGTGCAGTTATCATGGAGCCCGGAGCACCTTCCATGTTGGTGTGTCTGTCAAAGGTTCTGGCTGAACATCAGAATTTTTACAATGACTGCTGTATCCCGGTCATGGTTATGTGCTTTCTCTCATCTCCATTTACGCTGGAGGCGTCATATATAAAAGGGATCAATTCTGATCTAGTTCGTGAGGAATAATGAAGAGGGAAGCCATCGCCACCTAGCTTTATGGTTGAGACACTGGCATACGTGTTGTAATATGCTAGAGTATCACTACCGGGTTCAATTGTAGATGTGAATTCTAGTTTATTGAGCCTCTCAAATATATAACCTTTCACGCTAGTACCTATTTTACCCGCTTCTGTTTGTCCCGACTATTGATCCGCGTCTCCTGTTCCACTCAACCTCTCCTCTCCCGTCGTCTCTCCTCTCGGCGCAAAAGCTGGGCCATCGTGACCACATGCATCCAGGTATCCAGTCTTCATTTCCGTTCCTGTTTGTCACAGAATCCTCTAGCAATCGATATGTATGAATACATCAACCTATAATTATAATTTGGAGTTGTGGCTCACCAGTGGTAGCTCGCTTCGAATACCGCGCTATTCTTAACGTCACCAGTGACGATGTATAGACTGGATTGTTATTATTACTAACGACCGTTTGTGAGCTTGGTTTTATTCCTCTCAAGATAAAGAATGTTGATTATTTCGACTACATATTTGGTGTGAAATGAACATCACGTGCAACCGAAGTAGCTGCTTGTATAGCTGTATGAGTAGGAAGCATTGCATACGCGACGACAGACGGACTGCAGAAGGAGGATTACAGTGGCACTGGAGATACGGCCATTGAAAACAACTGTCGGAAGTTGATTCTGACAATGTGTATTAGGTTCAATATCTACGCACGCGAGAACCTATCAGGTGGTCTAGGTTCAGAGTGTCAGTATTCAGGTATAAGTATCAAGCCTTTAGTTCAGTTTATAAAACCTAGAACCTTTTCTCGAACTTGCTCTGACTACCATTGTGGAACTCTAGAATACTAAGTATCATATGCGCTCCCGGAAGCTGAATATAACATTTGATGTAGTCACAGAGCCGTCGAATACTTTTCTACAACAAAGATAGATGTCGCCAATCCTAGTTCAGGGACCTATGAGACCGAATGCCTCAGAAGCCAATTACCACACCTATACTATACGAATGTGTCTAAGGCACGGAATCTGAAACAGCTGTGGAAGGTTGTGACTACAAATGGAACTGGTTTCACTTCTATATATCCGACGCCTAGCCATTCGTCATGGAAAGCTGGATATATTTCACACTTATTATCCTAATGTGTCCGCTTGTGCTCACTTAATCAAGCATACGCACAGGGAGCGGTTGATACGGGCGCAGTACGTTCGAAGGATTTTGCATAGTAAGCTGATACATGCATCGGAGTTCTTCTCGCACAATCCGTCCGATAATAGGGTCTCTAGGAAACCCGCCTCTGCGAACAAGGTCAAAGTCGAATATATGATACCCTACCGTTGAATATATCTACTGAAGGTTCTTATATAAATTTAAGCCGATGTTATAATAATAAACGAGGAAATTTCTAGACAGGGGCATCGGATAGCGGTGTGATCAACAGAAGTAGTAGGTTGCCCGTGTGAATCCGGCTCACTGTTGTGTCTACGATAACACCAGGTGTAACAGTCGCAACGGTTGGTGTGACAGTACAGTTTTACTGTGGCGCGTGAGTCGGCGGTAAGGCATCGACACTATTATTCATCAGCGTCAGAGGAAATGACCGTAGGTACAACTTAAACTGCAGCGGCAGACGCCCCTACTGGGTAACCGTGAGCGTGCGCTGGGCAAAGTAAATAATGCAACCAGCCATATGCGGGGGAACGCGGGGCACAGCTCACATCATTTCCTTTTGCGACAAGGCAAAGGTCCCGAACCGAACCAAGGATCGGACCGATGCAAAACCGGTTTTCGAATGGATCCACGTTGTAGAAATATCCGCGAGTATTTCTTTTTTCTTTTTTCTATGTATTTTATATATGTAAGAAAGCTGATAACTGTAGGTACATATACATATACTCTACGAGTGATGGGGCATGATGAGTTAGGTGGCTAACCCTAACCCTGCAGTGGAAGAGTGCGTATGGGAAAATCAACTGAAGTCGAAACTTGAACTTGGCCGCGCGAGTACATGTACTTACACGTAGGTACACTCTTTCACGCCTGCTGTGTGGCCACAGCTTGCAGCACCCCAACTGGTACGGGCGAAAGCAACCTTATCATATCGTTACAAGTTTTTTTACCATCGATCCTAATCCTAATCATATCATCAGATCAGTTTTCCCTGCGATGCAGGCTTTTGCTCGAGTACTGATCCCGGCGTTTGATAGCTTAGCGGCGCCTGATTGATCTGAGATCAACTTCTGACTGGATCTCCACCACCACCAGCATTATGCCTCACCACGTAATTTTCAGATGTTCGCGTTATATAAGTCTCCGAAACCACCGAAAATGTGAGGAGAAACTCAAAATTCAAGTCTGTGGCTGTCCGATTAAGCACTGAATTATAAAATAAATACAACCTAGAGCTCATACTTCCTGATCCTAAAAGATTCATGTGGATTGCTCTAGATGAGCGATCTTCTCTTGACGGACCCAGTCAGTCAAGTGAATGTCGATATGGAACGAGGAGGTCTCGGAGTATAAAGAAAAAATCAAATCGCCTTGATGAGAATTGATCTGCATGGACTGCATGGAGCATAACTAACCACCTTTTCACCGCCAAGTTTGTGGAGCTGCCGGCCATGTTGCCGAGCGGAGGGGTGCGGGAGCTAGGAACGGCTCTCGACCTAGGGGATCATCGACACCCACAACATCATCGTGGACAGCTACCTAGGTATCAACAGCCTCTGCTAGTTGAGATTTTCGTGATAACTGAAGGTAGGTATGTTGCTGTACGTCTTGGTAACCCGTATAAGTGGTTCTCGGGACAGCACATATGCCAGACCGAAAATACGGGACTTGTAGGCCGGGGGATATGCCGACGCATATTGGCACCGATTTCCTGAGTAGTGGAATCTGGGAACGCCCATGGCCCAGGGGGGGGCAGGTTGGATTACACTTCCAGACAACCAGAGTGTAGAGTGAATCTTGTCCGCAAATATGCTTATTCCCTACAGGGATAGCCTCGCGGGCTGCGGTCTCACTACATACACGTTGAAAGTGTCTTCTAGAGTAGACGAGTATCATACTACCTACTCTAAACTCTCCATAATCAAAATATATGCGCTATTATCCCGCAAATATCTCTACTTCCGGGAAGGCGTCTCGAAATACGTGTTGAAAGTATCTAGACAGAGCACCTAGGTAGGTACATACACACCTACTTATTTCTGCGGAAGATGAACTTAAAACGAGGCAACTCAAGTGCTCAACCCCTGGTCGTCAAAGTTAAATACGAGATACTACCTGTCTCATGTCGTGAAGTTCACGATGTTGATGTCTCGGGGACCTTGGTCAGCCTGGGAGGAGGCGCTGACCACTATGTATTTGGAGTCGGGAGAAGTGATACTGGTGTGTCAGTAAGGCAAAGAGAAGAGAAAAGACATCTCCGGGTGTCAGTTCTGGCCATTTCTGGGCATACAGAAATTAGTGATCACATCAACGTTTTCAAAAGAGCCTGCATGTCTCTACCAAGAACATTGACTTAGCGAGACGGTTCGCGGCTATCCCTCTCACTGGGGCAGCGTGTGAAGAGAAAAAATGTCTTCTGCAGCGACTGTCAAATCAGGCTAAGAGCCGAGCAACGTGCAGGATCGGTGGCTTGAAATGCTGAAGCGAGCATTTAATGTGAAGTACATGTAGTCAGGTCACGCCTGCATGCACCAGGAGTAAGATGTGACCTGTCACGTCTGTCTGTAGGCTGGGAATACCAATGATCTGGTGCCTTATTGCTGGGACTGGATCTCTGGGTGGTAAGTACTGTAGAGTAGTTCTTATGTATGTAGGTACATAACACAGAGTTTTTAACCTCGAGTGGGATTCCTTAATATTTTCTGTGAAAGCTATCTCGATATATCGAAAAGCTTTTCCTTCACTAAAGTTAAAGAAGTAATGGTAGCAACAAGTAACGCCTGGGTAATCCTCGAAAAGATTAATATGTATGTACCTAAATGGCGGCTCGATCCGCAAGTTTATGTAGGTACTCTGCCTTTCTGTAATAGTGAAATTTCAATGTCTATTCTGGGCAGAGGCGTTTGCATAATATGTTACTCTACCTGTGGGGTCCGCGGGTCTAAGCATCTATAGTACGCTAGGTAGATTACGTTTCTTGCATTAATTGCATTATGTACTCTATGTACGTACATTTCAGTGTATCTCCTCTTAGAGAAGAGTAATTCCCGTGCCTATATGGAGGAACAGTTCAATATCGCTATTCCACGGCGGCCGGCACCCCGCTTATCGTACTAGAGAACACTAAACCATACTTTAGGTACTCTACCTTAAGTAGATCAACAGAGTACCCTTCCCTGCTCGCGGGAGTATATATCAAGTTTCACAACGCCCACCGGCTGGGTTTGGCTCCGGGAAGCCTTAAAGCACGGGGACTTTGTGGATCTCCCTCACCCTCGAAAGAAAGGTTTCATTGGGCAAAGTAAAGAAATACACGTCTCCTTTCGCCGCCTACCAGCATATGGTCGTGTAACAACGCGCTCGACTCACGTTGGGCATGTACATAACACATATAACTTGAACTACATAGTATTTCCACCCACACCCCACTTGCTCACATCTTTTGCTTCATAAATAAGAGCTTCTCTCTTCTCCCCAGCCCATGAAAATCCAATTGTTCTGAACCAGAGAAGCAACAATAAAGAAATCGACTCCTGAGTTTACCAACAATTGAAACTTGCATCATTAACAATGCCAGCTGGTGACTCGCAAAGAATCGCCGTCGACCCTGTAAGTTAACCTTGTGTTCACATGTAGTCTTTTATTTCTCTCCTTACTTTATGTTATTTGCTTTGCCGCGGTCTAACAAGTTGTCTTTTACTAGAGAGCCCAAGGTGATCACGACGAAAGCTCCGACTATCTGAGTGGATCGTAAGCTGCCTCTTCTGTATCTGCACTAGCAGAGGTACTGAATCTTTAGTGAATACTCAACAGAATCTCTCTCATCGTCAATCTTCGAGTATCGGTATGAGAATGGTCGTCGGTACCATGCTTACAAGGACGGGTATGTGTTTATTCACGACTTCGTACTGAAAGAGATACAAACTGACAGGTGGATAGAAACTATATTCTGCCGAACGACGAGGTAAAGATCCAATATGCTCGAAGGGGCGCGTAAGCAGATGAACTAACTATTTCTTTTGATTATTCTATAGAAGGAACAAAATCGGTAAGTCCTCAAAATAATAATACACCTTAGAAAATATTAACGGAATACTCAGTCTTGACATCATTCACCATATCTATCTTCTCATGTTAAAAGATGAGCTACACCTAGCCCCCCTTGAAAACCCACAACGCATTCTCGATCTTGGCACTGGAACCGGTATCTGGGCCATGGATATGGCGGAGTAAGTCCACAATAACCCTTTTGACCCTGTGAAGGAAGTCATTAATACCATGCAGACGATACCCATCGGCAGAAGTGATCGGTACAGATCTCAGCCCGATTCAACCTAGCTGGGTCCCACCAAACGTTCATTTCCAGATCGATGATGCCGAGTCAGACTGGACATGGGAGGAGAACTCGTTCGATTTTATTCACTTGCGCCATCTTAGTGGGGCAATCAAAGATTGGCAGAAATTGATGGAACAGGCGTTCAAGTAGGTTGGTCTCTTCTATTATTTCGACTAGGTTGGTGCTGATTACCGTGGATAGGTTCTTGAAGCCTGGTGGTTACATTGAGATTCACGAGTACGACATGGGCTTATTCAGTGACGACGGAACATTGCCGGAGGATCTGTGGTTATGGAAGTTTTATGACCTTGTCAACAAAGCCGCTAACAAGAACGGTATCTTCTACTCCTTCCTGCCCTTTAGTCACCGGTATTGACAGTTTACAGGTCGCGCATTCCAGATAGTATCGAACATCGAGTCCCTCCTTAATAGCGCAAGATTTGAACAGCCCGATTACAGAATGTACAAACTGCCGCTTGGCCTCTGGGCCGCGGACCCAAAGATGAAGGAGATTGGTGCATACCTACTGCTGAATGCCGAGTCGGCGTATGATGCGTTTGGTATGGCGCTTTTCACGAGAGAGCTGGGCATGACGGTGGAAGAGGCTCGGGAGATCGTGACAGGTGCCGAGAAGGACTCCCGAAATAAGAAGATCCACGCATATTCTAAGCAGTAAGTGCTCCTTCAATACAGCTCGGGGGGAAAAGGAATTGGAGGCTAATATATATGGTGTGTAGGCATTTGTGGTGGGCGAAGAAACCGGAAACGCAATGTTAGGGGGGCGTTCGGGAGAAGATTAGGGTCTAGGAAGGAATGTTAAAGGTCTTGTGTGTGATATGAGTTCTTATAGTGTTGTGGTTATTCAATACCACATTCGTTGATTACAAGAAGATATCCAGATCGCGTTTTGAGTGGAATAGGACCACTTAGCGTTCTATGGAACATGGGCATGGTATGGTAAATGAGGTGTGATAGGAAATAGGGAATAGAAATGAGACACATGACATAGCTCCGACTAAAAAGCGAAGAGGTAAAAACGTCAACTTTTTACCAAGATTGTACACAGCTCCCGAACTCTTCAGCTCCACGATGCTTGATCCACATCTATTCATGGTGCCAGGACTAAAATACCACTTCTTAATAAGCAGAGTTTTAGGAATTCTCACTTTAAGCGGAGTCAAGGCTTTCAATAAGTGGCATTTACTTTGATCCTGACGTCGACGCAGCGAGTAACGCTGACGTGACTATCTCTTTGGCCGTCAGTCCAAATCAAAACCGTCACCAAACGTGATATTGTTTTCTGAGATACATCACCGTCGAAATGGGGAAAAAAATAATCCTCCAGTAACGATTTACTACAAATAAGGCTTGAATAAACATTTTTTGGTAGATTTAGTATTATTTGGATATAAAGCTCTATTTTTTCGAAGGATCTGCCTAAAATAAGACTTGTATAAGCCTCATTTTACCTATCTGCATTAAATTTAGATGATTATAATAAACCTTTATACCAGATCTCTCATATTCATTAAACATGGTTTTTTGGTGAATGAGGCTTATATAATGCTTATAATTCAAATTTTACTAGTATTTTATTAGTTATCTAGCGTGTATATGAGTTCCAGCACCAGAATTTCAGTCCTCTGATGATTCAGTGGGTAGTATGAGGTATATGCTACCTACAAGTTTCGGGGTTCAACTCCCCCTTTTTCTTTTTCAACTATTATTGACATAATTATTATTATCAAATAATCATTTTTGTAGCTAATAATTATCCAATCCAAGAGCTTAGTAAACAATTATATAGGAAATAAGCGTTATCTATCAGTATCGATTATTTAAGCTTGTACTAACCATTATTTTTTCCCCGTTTCGACGTTGAAGTACTTCTAAAGAGTGAAAATGAAGAGCGAAGAATGTATAGTATAACTGATAGAAAAAAACAAAGGAGAGCAATCGAAAACTCTCTCTTTATAGTTACAAAGCTAAAGGTCAAACTATCGCTAGTGTAATAGCACATATAGCATAGAAGCATGTCTAGTTTTTACAATGAAACGTTTAACAATAGAATTGTTGACAATGAACAACATGACAATGTAGCAACGATTGACTATAATTAGTAGATATAACATTAGGTGCTCTGTTCAACTCATTAGTCATTGAGTTATCGTGTATCTAGTCAGAAAAGTGAGTTGGAGTCGGAGTTATATCAGTATTCCAATCAAACTACAGGTGATTGCAGTTGACTGTGCCAAACAATCGAATTCTAGAGGGTTGGATATACTGTATGGGCTATAGTCGACTATAGTTTTCACGTCAAGCTGGTCCATACAAATTGAGGATAGATTGCAAGCACTATATAGTTAGGAATGCCTTGACCTGGAGTGCCGAACATGCACAACTTCAGGGCTTAATAGCAACCTACTACAATGAGTAAAAATAAAAGTCGTTCTCTTGACTCATAGAGAAAATAGTGTATATGGATGTAACAGGTGGGAATTTGGTAAAAAGGTATTTGGTGGAGACCCTATTTCATCTCAAAGATGCGTCTTTTTGGAGAGAAATAGTACAAATGTCGCTGAAAAATTGCCTATTCCAGCCAGAAGCAAGGACTAATTACAACGCTTGATACCGGATTAGGAAGGTACTCTGCTAAGTCATTTTGATCCATTCTCTAATTTCTCTACTATTCTACTATTGAGATTTATCTACAATTTGCTAGTGTCCCCTGTAAATTCTCCTTCTAAATACTTTAGCTCCGTAAGTACATCATTCCGGATAAGTGATCAAAATTCTCATATAGTCTCAAGGGGGCGAGTAGCGAGTATTCCGCAGAGTACGATCCAGGTAGTAGGGGGCGGTGGGGGAACTTGTGATAGGGGTGTTCAGTGACTCTAGCACTAGTAAGGGTCAACGAGACAAAGGGAGCAGCAGCACGGTAGTCTTTTTGAGTAAAGAATAGGAAATAATATTATATAGTAATAGACAGCGTAGGTACAGGAGACGTTGCGTATCAGAGGAAAGAAGAGAAAGAGAACAGAAACAAGGGCGAAATCTCCTAATCTACCTAAGGAAATCTCAGCGATGACGAATCCAAAGTAATTGATACTCTTGCGATCAACAGAACCCGATAGAACTCAATAGAAGCTTTCTGACTAATCCAACTCCTCGTAAACTAGTGTCTTAACTAATCGATCTATGACACTAGCCCCTCCCTTCAAGAGCGAGCTCTTGTGAGCCTTAACCTTAACTTTTACTCCCAATGATGCAGGTTTATCGGGGTAGTGTGTATGGAAAATATCAATGGAGGAGGTATTGTTGTGTTATATGTCGGGTTCTCAGGTGGGGTCAGTGTAGCCTGTCTATTTAACAAAATATTGCAGGCCGTTATTTTTTGTTTTCCGTGAATCCAGAATTTCTTCGATCGCGTACTCCTCTTCCTATTCAACGATAATAGTTGATGGTGGTTGGGTTTACTCGGGAACGGAATCATGTGCAGCGAGGTCTAGCAGCGATACATGGAAAACGGGGTGCATTTTCATGTTCCTAGGCAGGTCGATTCGGTATGCATATGGCGATATCATTTCTTTGACAGGTAACGGGCCCAGCTTCTTCCAGCCTAGCTTTCGAGAATTACGGGCAGTTCGGATATTTTTTGCTGAAACAAACACTATATTGCCGACATTATAGCACCGGCCAGGCATTTGTTTGGCATTAACAGCTTCTTTTTGTTGGTCTTGCGCCGTGCAGATAATGGAACATAGGTGTTCGTGGAGCTCTTTCATCTTCAAAGTAAAGTCCTTAGCATTGAGGCTCGGTGGGGTCCTATCAAGTGGCTTAATCGTAACTGTATACTGGGGGTGGAAGCCATAGTTTGCGAATAATGGTGTAGATTTGGTAGATGCGGAAACTTGGTTGTTGGCGGAGAATTCTGCCATAGGCAGCCAGTTTACCCAATCGTCTTGTTGATAATAGACGTATCCGCGTAGGTATTGTTCCATCACGGCGTTCAGTCTTTCAGTTTGCCGTCGGTCTCAGTGTGGAAGACATTGGACATTCTTGCATCAATGCTGAGGTATTTAGAGAGAGCCTTCCAGAATTTAGCTGTAAATTGCATGCCGCGATCGGAGGTGACATGTGTGGATAGCCCATGGAGTTTCCAAATATTTCGCAGGTATAACTGGACGACGTCTTCGGAGTTGACGGTGGTGTTGCAGGGTAGGAGATTTCGCATCTTTGTTAAATGGTCAACAATTACCATGATTGCATCGTATCCTTGGCCCTCCGGTAGACCAATAACGATGTCCATTGATACCTCTTGCTATGATTTTTCAGAGATCGGTAAAGGTCGAAGTGCACCGAGTTTTCAATGGGTGTTGGGTTTACTTCCTCAACAGGTGAGGCAGTTCCGAATATAGCGCGCAATATAATTCAGTATAAGGGGTCAGTAGTAGTCTCGACTAATGAGCTCAAATATGCTTTTGCGTCCAGGGTGTTCGGCGGAGACAGCGTCGTAGTAAAATATGAGGATCCAGAGTTTAAGAGGGTCGTAGTCAGGTACATATATGTTACCTCGGTAGAGCAATCGGCCTTCCACCTCGGTGCATTCCGCGATTGATATGTCTTTTGATTGTCGTTTACCTTTGTTCCACATGTCCAGTATCTTCTATGGGAATAGGTCAGTGTTGTATCTTTCATAAAATAGTGTGCTCAGGGAGGCGTTCTTTTCAGCAGGTTCATTTAAGAAAGAACCCGCCAGGAAGCTTAGCTTTGTTTCAGGATTCTCCTTTTCAGTATGACTTGACTCTGGTGTAATTACCGTTCATCTCCCTCTCCAGGGAGATCTCCTGATCTCCTTTTCAACACGTCCAGTTTCCCTCCTTATTTCCCTGGTCGGTACTTGATGACAAAATTGAATCATGATAGGTATTCCGTCCAGCATGCTTGTCTCCAGTTGAGTTGTTTAGTACTCATAAAGTATTCGAGATTCTCATGATCGGATATGACAGCAATTGGGTATGCAGCCCCTTCAAGTTCCGGTCACCATTCCTCGAAGGATCGAATAATCGCCAGTAATTCTTTGTTATAAATCTCGTAGTTGCATTTGGTGGGGGAGTGCTTCTTTGAGAAGTATGCGACGGGTCAAAGGGTACCATTATCATCGTATTGGGAGAGTACACTGGGAGAGAGATAGACAGATGCATCAGTTTCCACAGTAATTTCCTTCTCGGGGTCGAAATGGATGAGGATCGGAGCGGTTATGAAGGCTTTCTTCAGGGCGTTGAAGGCAGCTTGGTATTCAGGTATTCATTCGAACGATATGTCGTTGCGTGTGTAACGGAGCCATTTCAACTGTCTGGTGTATGAGTACACACAGGGCCCGGTTACATGCTGAGAGTTATTGTTAGAAGCCAGTTGCATGGTGATATGCAAGTACCGGCAGTGTGGTTAGCTACCAGCTGTTAGAATAACTACATTCCGGGCGCTAGGAAGGGGATCTATTCATGGGAGCAATGACTGACGAGTCTATGCCTCGCCAGTGTCTAGAAGACTGGCCAGAGTGAAGCTCTGATTGCCCGGTGATCCTCTATATCCTCCGAGCATTGTAAGTCAGCCGAAGTGCAGGGGCTATGCTTAGGGAAAGTCTAGGATAAGGGAAAAGCTCTACAGCAATGATTAAGCTTACACCTTAGCGGCAGCTCATTCATGCAGGCCCTCGGTTGTGAGACAACCAAGGCTGCAGGTGTTAGAAAGTCTTTGACTAAGGGTGGTGGCCTTGAGTATCGGAAACACCTGTTGACGCTTAGAGAAAAGCGGAGTAGTGGTGGTATTGTTTCCGGTACCGAGGAAAGGCTTCACCGGAACTTAGTAAGGAGTTAGGAGCAGAGAATAGAGGCCTTCGGAGTATAAGTACTCAGGTTCATTCTCGCCCTTCAGTCCTGTTCTCTCCAGTCTTCATCAGAAAGAAAAACCAAGTTTCTATCGTTAGCAGAGCCCTTAAAGATTATTGAATTCTAGCGATAGTATCTTTGAATAATCTGCAACCTGATTTTCTATCTTGCACGGCCGTCTCTATTCTATCTTATTCTATTTTCTCTTAGAAGAGACCCCCGTTACAGCGTGTAAGTCTGGTAAGGGGAGAAGCCAGTTCAGAGAACTCAGGTATCAATCGGCGGTAAAAGTTGGTGAATACCAGAAATGCTTGCACATCCTTAAATGTTTTGGGGACGGTCCAATTCTTCACTATACCCAATTTCTTTGGATACATTTTAATGCCGTTGGGTTCGATTACGAGGCCGAGGTAGGTGGTGCTTTGCGTATGAACCTCGGATTTCTCTGGTTTCACCAGTACTCCATTTCTTTGTAGGGCTTCCAGGACTTTTCCGAAATGTACCTGATGTCCCTCGCGGCTGTTGCTATAAATGAGAATTTCGTTAAAGTAGGTTGTACAGAACATGTAGAGGTAGCCACGGATGCAATTGTTGATAAAGTGCCGCAAAGTGGCTGGCGCGTTGGTGAGGCCGAAAGGCATTACCGTGTATTCGAAATGCCCGTAACACGTACAAAAGGCTGTTTTCCATTGCTCACACTGAGCTATTCAGATCTGGTTATACCTTTAGGGAAGGTGGAGTTTTGTGTACTACTTAGCTTTAGAGAGGTGGTCGAGAGTTTCCCGGATGAGCGGCAGTGGGTAGCGGTTTTTGACATTAAGTTCATTGAGGCAACGATAATCGATATAGAGATGGAGTGTTTCATCGGACTTTTTAACAAATAGGATAGGGCCACCGACGAGAGAAGAGGTGGCCTGTATGAAGCTCCTTTCAAGGTTGTCCTTTATGTATTGCTTGAGCATGATGAGTTCCTCGCGGGACATACCATAGAGTGGCCCGAATGGGCGCTCTTTTCCTTCCTTGAACGGTATCTTGTTGTCATAGGGACAGCGTGGTGGCATTCCGTTAGCGAACCTCTCGTCCATTATCTCGTGGAACCTCTTGTATCGGGTTGGAACTCAGTTTCTCCAGTATTCCTTGGGGGCCTTGCCCATGGCTTGGTCGATTTCCTCTATAGTTATGCTGAAGATTTGGAGTTTGTCCCTTCGAGCAAAAGGGCAGAGGGTGGCTGAACTGGTGAGGTGGAAGTGGGGTGGTGGTACAATTCCTTTAATGGGAATAGGTATTGCCGAGGAGTTGCACTTGTGCTTGCAGTATTCGGAGTCGAACAGTATGCTATTGTCTTTAAACCATAGTGTGACGTCATGTAGTTGAAGCCAAGGGATCCTGAGTATGAGTGGGCAGGAGTCAGGTTTGCTGTCGAAGAAGGTGATAGTTTCATGATGGGAGTTGATTGATAGCGGCAGTTAGTACAGGTGGATCCATCAGCAAGCTGGTGTATTACCCAGGGCGCATCCCCTTCATCATGTCAGACATTCCGTGCTCTGAGCATCTAGCGCGTCTGTCACTGCCCATGTATACCGCTCGAGCGCGGCTCCAACCCAGGAGGGCCTATCCTTCCGGCACCGCCAGGAGATATAGCTTATATCTGGAGGGCACTCGCCAATGCTCTGCTCACCTCGGCCACCATGAGATTACCTCCACCTCTGGAGACGCTAGGATGGAATGACCTCATCCACAGTGCCTATGAAACTTTTGCTTCTTTTGATTACATCAGTAGTATCATCTGAGTACTTTCTAATGCTCTCACAGTTTTCTTGAATGCTTTTATGGTACGACGAATACTCTCACATCACAGCGATTTTTCTCACGGCACCGCGAATACTCCCACGAATGCTCCCCCAAATGCTCACCTGAGTGCTCCCGCAAGTGCTACCAGAGTATCGACCAATGCTCAAAGAGTACTCAAAAATGCTCACAGAGCTGAGGCATTTGTCATATCCACTCAAGGTGAGGCAACCCTTACTTTGCCCCCTTTGTATTGATACGCTGTCATAAAAGGATAGAAAGGCACCAGTCCCTCAAATGATATCTACCGTGGGTATCCTCAATGCCGCTGTATGGTCAGTCATGGGATACTGATATGAGCCTTGTCCTGTACACTTGTGACAACTAGCTAATCTTTGATATGGATGTATGTTTCTGTCAATTCGTGAAAGGCATAATTAGCCTTGAGGTTGAGGCCATGGTACAGCTCATCTGAAAAGCTCAATGTCCATGCATAAGCAGCAAATATAGACTGGCATTGCCCTGCTGGAGCGAGTTTGCTGGATAACCAAACTCAGATACTGAGTGGCCAAAACTTTACCTCCTCCTTCCAATCTGCATGCATAGCAGAACAACACGGATTTTGAATTAGAGAGTCCAATTGGGACTAATATTCTCAGAGTACTCACGAATGCCCTCATGGCTTTGCAAGTATTCAACTATATTCATTCCATGTATGCAAGTCTATCCTAGTATTTACCAACCAATTACTTATCTCCACCTCAAATAAATGGGCGATTCCCAATATACTCCGAATATTAACGACTGTTATGGGCTGATTCAGGGAACCTAGTAAGGGGTTCAGAGGTTCTCGATAAGAGAACAGTGGAAGCTGACTCAGAGTCATATAGGTGAAAACTGTTCACCCCATGTGGGGTCAGAATCAGTGTTCGGGATTATTGGGCTTGATACCGATAGATATTAGGCGAGGTTTCTTAACGGTAGGATACCGAAGGAAATGAACGAGAACAGGATCAAACATTTTACGTTATGCAAATCGAGAGCGAGACTGGGACTGGAATCAAGAGGCACAATCAAGAGGTTACGCGATTTGGGTTCGTAGAGGTTTGAAAACAGAAAAATAGAATATATTTTTATGTAACAGAAAGTTCAGATAAGGAGAGAAGAAAGAGAAGACAGAGGGAAAATACAGCTATATATATATCCTTCAAAACCCAATGATTAATTCACATAATGGAAACCCATAGAAAGAAAACCCAAATATAACCAGAATTTCAAAAGAGAAACGACAAACGAAATCCCAATTACTCATCGCTCTCCTTCCTGAACTTCTTCTTTACTCACGATACACCATTAAAATGATCCACATTCTCTTCCGCCTCCTCCTACCAATCTGCAGGAGCCTATGTGAGCTATCAGCGATATCACGATCCTTTGCCTTGAGTAGCTCCACTATACATAGTCTAGGTGCTCACCCCCCACTGTCCCGCAGCTTGAACAAAGCCTTCATAAATCCTGGTAAGCATCCCTGAAATACTCCCCACTCCTCTGAGGATGCTACCGACACCCATACTCAATCCTGTAATATTTTCCTTTTCTAAAAGCTGCGTTTCCCGTACACCTAATATTG